CATTCTTTACCCTTCCAGGGCTCACAGCTTAGTTGGGGAGGCAAGGCCAGGTGATGTAAGAATCAGTGTGATGTGGACATGGACGTGAGGGCCCTAGAGCTGGAAGACCACTGCAGACTAAAGCCTCCATGAGACAGAGGAGGAGAGTGTTCCAAGGGAAGGAAGAACATCAACACAAAGACCTGGTGGTCAAAATTAGCGAAGTTAGAGGACTTTATAAGTTGGATTAAGTCCATAAAAGCAGTGTTCCTGATAGAGACAAGTAGAAAGTGAAGTTGTTAAGTCAGGTGGGGGCAGACTGAGAAGATTCCAGAAAGCCAGACAAAGATATTTTGGCAGGTAGATCTTCTTTGCCCCCAATTTTTAACAATAACCAATCTGTGGAACTTATCAGACTGGCTGAGGTAATGATCAAATCTGGATATTCGCATTTTTGAAACCTACTTTATGATCAGATGTGATATTTTCTGTTATAAGCCTAAGTAAAATATTTATTCCTATTAAATATTTTCCTATATATGAGAAAGAAGATATCCAAGACCCAAGAAGAGACTCCTTAAGATGCAAATATGATTTTTCCAATGTTTCTACTTTTAGATATTTAGAGGTTGAGTTTGACGAACATCTGAGCCAGATCCTTTTAGGATATTGAGTCACTTTTCTCTTACTGGATTGTCTAGCACACACTTGAACATTTTCATGGTATCAGTGTCATATTCAGAGAGATGCAGTGTCAGAGCAGTGGGAAGAGAATTTAGGAAGCTAGATTCTCTTTTGTTCCCAGCTCTTCCACTGACTGGCCATGTCACATGGAAAAATCTCCATCTCTCTGAACCAGCTCCTCATTTGCAAAAGGAAAGGGTTAAACTAGTGATAGTTCAGTCTCCCTCAGATCTAAAATTCCATCATAAATGGTGCCATTGGGGATTGAACTAAATCTTCTTGGTCCCAGATTATATTGCAAAGGTTACATTTTAATAAATCCTGCTATCAACATGTTTACTTGTCGTATGTCTCACACACATAAAATTAGAGTGCAGACTGTGCCCCCAACAAATTGGTTCTTTTAAGCTTCCCAGATGTTTAGATTCCAAATAAACAGTAGTAGGTAGTTTGAAAATGACAGCAGAAAGTTGTCATTCGAGGGGAAGAAGCTGAGCATCCTAAACCACAGACTGGGGAGAGCGAGATCTCTTCAAATGCCTTTGGCAAGGCGGCCCCAGCCCAGAAAGTGCAGTTTGGGACTGTCAGAGCTGTATGTGCACCCGCAGGCGATCAGGGCTGGATGTAGTCTAAAAGAGGTAGATAAGCTCAAGATATATGATCTGCTTTCCTGCCAAGAGCAATTTGCTTGACAGGCCTCCTGCTTATAAAATACTAAGGCATTCTTTTCAGTATTAAAAAGTTTTGGTCTTTGAGAATAAACTATGTCTGCAGAGGGAAAGAAAAAAATTTAACAGTTTGATTTGTAAAAGGACTAGATGGATAGTGAGTATATTTTATGTTTCCCAGTTGAAGGAAATAAAAATCCGTTGTTGTTTTCACATGTCTGATCCCGGTATATGCCTATGCTGGGAACTGTGATCTTCATAGGGATCAAAACGAACTAACTTTTTAAAATACAAGCATTTTAATGGTCTGAGACATTGACAATCCTGATCCTCACAACAACTTTATTGGGTAAACAGGGAAGGTATTCTCCCATCTTACACATGAGAAAATAAGCTCACAAATCTTAAGAGACTTGCTCAAGACCTCGTCACTGATAAATATAAATAAGTGAGAGGGACACAAGTTCAGCTTGTTGATGCCTTTCTACAAGTCCTGGTTTTCCTTCTATGCCTCAACTTTTCGTTTCCGTTGTATATTGATTTGTAAAGCAAATAATTTTGTTGTCATTTATGTTAAAGTGATNGTTTCCGTTGTATATTGATTTGTAAAGCAAATAATTTTGTTGTCATTTATGTTAAAGTGATGTTACTATGACAATTCTTCCCAGAGTAATAGATAAGCTTAACACAATGATGATCAAAAATTCCAACAAAAAGTTTCTTCTAATTTATTTTTTAATTGATTTTAAAGTCACTTGGAAAAATTAAAAAGTTAGACCACCTAATCTTAAAATGAGGGTAATAATGGGACAACTAGTAATAAAATTATTAAAATATTTTCTCTGTAATAAATAAGAATGGTACTGACACAAGTATAGACAGAAATGTGGAACAAAATCAAAGTTTCAGGAACACTCTTTAGTATAAACAAATATTAAATATTTAAAAAGCAGAGCATCACAAATTAATAGCTCTGTAATAAATAAGAATGGTACTGACACAAGTATAGACAGAAATGTGGAACAAAATCAAAGTTTCAAGAACACTCTTTAGTATAAACAAATATTAAATATTTAAAAAGCAGAGCATCACAAATTAATAGAGAATGGAAGCATTATTCTACAATTGGTCTTAGGATAATTAGTTAGATATTAATAAAAAGTACTTATATCCTTAAGTTATATTTACACACTTAAATAGAGATCAAACAGAATAAAGAGTTAAATATTTAAAAAATGAAAATCACAAGAATCAAAAGAAAATATAGGTAATAATTTATCTGATCTGAATGCAAATTCATTGGAAGAAATTACAAATGGAAAATGTAAATAAAGGTGACTTTAACAAACATATTAATTTCCATATTTTATAAAAACATGCTAACCAATATAAAAATATAGAAAACTGGGGAAAATACTTGCAGCAGGTATGAGAGACAAAGATATATATTCTCAGACATCTACACTCCTAAGTTCATTGCAGCACTATTCACAGTAACTAAGAGATGGAATCAACCTAAATGCCCGTCAATGAATGAATGCATTTTTAAAAATGTGGTATAAATACACCATGGAATACAATTCAGCTATAAAAAGAAGGAAATCCTGCCATTTGTGGCAGCATGGATGAACTTGGAGACCATTATGTTAGGTGAAGTAAGCCAGACACAGAAAGACAAATAACTGCATGATCTCACTCATACATGGAATCTAAAAAAAGTGTTCACACAGAAGTAAAGAGTAGAACAGCGGTTACCAGAGTGGAGGGGTGGGGGGCGGGGGCGGTGCACGGAGAGGTTGGTCAGTGGATACAAAGTTACAGTGACATAGGAAGAATAAGTGGATATTCTAAGGCGACTATAGCTAATAACATTGTATTGCATATTTCAAAATAGCTACAAAAGGAGATTTTGAATATTATCACCACAGAGAAATGATAACTGTTTAGTTGAGGGATGTGCTAACTACTCTGAGTGAAACATTATACCATATATGCATGTATTGAAACAACACACTGTAACTCCATAAACACGTACAATTCAAAAAATAAGTATGTTTCACAAGAAGAAAAAAGTTACATACTCTCACTGTATACAGAACTCAATCAAACCAGTTTAGAATCTCTAAGAATTCAGTAGATAAACAGGCAAAGAACATGAGCAGATAATTCATAGAAAATAAAAAACAAATGACTAATAAGTATAGGAAAAAAATTTCAACTTCACTAGTAATCTAAAGGCAAATTAAAATGATAGAGCACTTTGTGGGAAAACTGGGTGGCCACACACAAAAGAAGAAGAAAACTAGAGCCCTAATTCTCACCACTTACAAAAATCAACTCAAAATGAGTCAAGGACTTAAATTTAAGAACTCCAAACTATGAAACTACTAGAAGAAAAGACTGGGAAATGATTTACGACATTGGTCTGGGCAAGTATTTTTTGAATAAGACCTCAAAAGCACAAGCAACGAAAACAAAAACAGACAAATGGGACTACACCAAACTAAAAAGCTTCTGCACAGCAAAGGAAACAATCAACAGAGTGAAGAGACAACTTACAGAATAGGAGAAAATATATGCAAACTACACATCTGACAAGGGGTTAACATCCAGGATATATAAGAAACTTGAACAACTCAAGTTAAAACAATCTGATTAAAAAATGGGGAAAATATCTGCATCAGCATTTTCCAAAAGATGACTTACAAAAGGCCAACAGGTATATGAGAAAATGCTCAGCATTACTAATCATTGGGGATATGCAAATCAAAACCGCAATAAGATATCATCTCACCCTAGTTAGACTGGCTATTATCAAAAAGACAGAAAATAACAAATACTGGGGAGGATGCAGAGAAAGGGGAACTCTTAACACACTGTTGGTGGGAATGTAAATTAGTACAGCCATCACAGAAAACAGTATGGAGGTTCCTTAAAAAATTAAAAATAGAACTTTAATATAGTCCAGAAATCCTACTACTGAGAATATATCCAAAGGAAACAAAATTAGTACATCGAAGAGACACCTGCACACCCATGTTTACTGTACCACTATTCACAATAGCCAAGATATGGAATCAACCTAAGTGTTGTCCATTGACAGATAAATACATAAAGGAAATGTGGTATAGTCATATTTACACAATGGAATACTTACTATTCTGCCATAAAAAAAAAAAAGATAAAATCCTGCCATTTACAGCAACATGGGTGGAACTAGAGGTCATTATGTTAAGTGAAGTGAGCCAGGCCCAGAAAGACAAATACTGTGGGATCTCACTCATTTGTGGAATCAAAGTGTTGATCTTACAGAAGTAAAGGGTAGAGCTGTGGTTGCCAGAGGGGTAGAGGGGAGGGGAGGGTGGAGAGAGGCTGGTCAATGGGTACAAAGTTACAGTTAGACTGGAAGAATAAGTTCTAATTTCCCAATTCACAGCTGGATGACTATGGTTAACGATAATGTACTGTATATTTCAAAATAGAAAGAAGAGAGGTTTTTGAAAATTCTCACCACTAAGAAATAGTCTGGGGTGATGGATATGCTTTTTACCCCGATTTGCCAATTACACACGTGTTAAAACATCACACTATACCCCATAAATGTGTGCAATTATTATGTGTCAATTAAAAATAAATTTTTTTAAAAAAATCACAAAACCATTAAGAAAAGACTGGTATAGCACTTTTTGCCTACCAAATAAGTAAAGTCTGAAACATAATCCTTTATGCTAAAAATTTGCTGAAGGGTACACTGTGACCATCTCACTACAAAGCAATTTGACTTCATGTTTCCAAAGTCCTTCAACTGTTCATGTCCTTGACATCAGGAATCTCTCCTAAGGAAATAATCAGACATATGATCAAAGATTTGCAGACAAGGATATCTCCTGCAGCATTATTTATAATAAAAGAAAAATGTGAAAAATCACCCAAATGTGTAAAGTTGTAGAATGTTTAGAAAAATGATGGTTCACACAGAAGATGAACCATTATGTACCTAAATGAAAGGGCAACAAAGAGTTTTTACTACATGAAGAAATACTTTTGACATGATGTTGACTGAAAAAAAAATTCAAGAAGCAAAATCTATGTATAATATGAGTTCAACAACTTGGTTAAATGCCTAAACGAGTACAGAAAAGAACGATGCCAGAAATGTAGAAACTGCTTCTGTATGGAGAGATTTTGATTGATTCTTTTTTTTCTGCTTCTTTAAATTTTCATATTCTAATAATATTTTCTAAAATGAGCATTTGTTATCATGGAAGAAAAGACAACATGAAAATATATACATGCATACATACACGCATACATGCACGTGTATGTGGAAATCCTTTTGATGTGTCATTTATAGGGCTTACCCTTGGATTTTTTTCCAGGAGTGAGGATGAATTGCCTCAATCCATCAGTTCCCCCATGTCCCTATGATATTACAAAATTGCTGACTTGAATATAGAGGTTAGCTCTAGCCATGCAACAGAATGTAGGGTACTAAATCTCAAACCTTAAACTTGAGTAGACTACTCTGACCACTTGACGTGTCCATCAGTTCCCCCATGTCCCTATGATATTACAAAATTGCTGACTTGAATATAGAGGTTAGCTCTAGCCATGCAATAGAATGTAGGGTACTAAATCTCAAACCTTAAACTTGAGTAGACTACTCTGACCACTTGACGTGAAGAATGTACATATATTAATGGAATGACACTAATTTTACCACCATAACAGTAAAATGAACTAGCATCATTGGTATACACTTGTCAATAGTTTGTGACCAAGAGATTAAAATGTGTAATTTCATTTCCATATTATCTCTAAATATCTAATTCCATGGTTGAAAATTATAGACTAACTACATTTCTACTGATCAAGTTTTAATCATAGAGTTATCTGTGTTGATCACAGAAATGAGGACTGTGTATAGAACTAACATAAAACATCTAGGGTTTTTTCACTACGGTAGTTCATTAGAACTCCAATTTATCACCTGAATGAAAAATAAACCATCTTAACTTTTTTGGGTGATTTAGCTGATTTTTTCCATTTTTCACTTGGTACTGATATTCAATATGTGACATGCAGGGTCAGAGGAGGGTGGAAACTGGCTCAGACTGGCTTAGCAGAGCCGATTCTGCTCACCTCTTTCCAAGTCTGTGTTCCATGACATTATATTGGGAGCTTGAAATCAGCCACACAGGAAGGTGTAGACCTAGAAATCACCAAATGCTGCACTCAGGCCTTTTTTATTCCAGAGATTCACTTTACCAGCATACAACTGCATAGTAGGCTATTAAAAATATTTGTTATATAAACAAGTTAATTAATTTTAAAAATTGTACATATTTTTTATTGTCCTTAATA